ACAGGCTCTGACTTCCGAGACTGCACTGCCTCTTCTTCCAGTGCGTTCAGGCCCCTGTGGCCTGTTAACAGAAGCCAGGCCCACTGGACATTTGTAGAAGACCAGTGAACAGCTAATTCCACACATGGCCTTTGGTCCCCATCCGTCACCTGTAGACAGGTCCCTCGGCCCTCCCCCTGTTCAAATTGCCAAAGGATATCTTCTTGGGAGGCTGGCACAGCTATATGGTCTTCCAGGGGCACAGGCCAGGCCTCCCAGAGCACAACCCCTGGTTTCCTCCTCACCACCTTCTTCCAGGGCCGCAGGAAATGTTGGTTAGCTAGCAAAGTGTCCAGCATGTCTCCTGCGTCCTCTCAGCTGCTGCAACCCCTTGGGCTTCCAGGTCACCGCCCCTGCCTCTGTGGCTCCAGCTGCTGCTGCCTCCCTCTATCAGCATGCTGGGAGAGGAGCTTTCTGGACACCGGCACTATCGTAGCCATAGCACATAACCTGGGCTGCAGCCCTACAGCCCAGTTGCTCTTGGCAACTTTGTTCCAGGTCTGTGCAGGGCAGGGGAGGGAAAGGGGGAACTGAAGCAGCAATTCCCCTCCTCTTCCTCTAAATCATCCACTACGATTGGGCAGGTCTTCCTCCAGGGCACTGTCCTGAGCCTCTGAGGCTGCCACTCCATCTCAGAGCTCTCCTAACTGAGCAGCATCATGAAGTGCAGCCCCTGTTACAGCTCGAAAAGCTGTAAGAAACAGCCAGCCCACGGACCCCACAACTGCCTGGGCGACTGTCTTCTCCACGGCCTCTGCTACCACTCACAGGGCCTTCTCTACCATGTTGGGTGTGCCACTAAGATTGGACCAGTTCTAGGGAAATGGGGTGTCCAAGTTGCCGGGGGACTTGCCAACAAATACCATATGCACGTGGCTGTCCACCCCACCAAGCCCTGTGCCAGTGGTCCCAATAGCTCTGACTCCATACCATGCTACATGAATCCTGCCAACTATGTCAATTGTCTTGCAGCCATTCAAGCCTGGGCAGATTCACATGGGATTCAGGCAGACTGAAGAAAATTTGTGGAGCTGTCAGGATGTCCAACATGCCTTTATTCTGGGGTGGGGCGATCCATGTGCTCCACAAGCCAGGAGTCCCATGAGTGGGAGGTCCCGACTCCTTATATACTAAGTGCACACAAAGCCAGCAAGGTGCCAATACTGACCTTCGGTTATCTAACAGAGCTTCATCCTATGCATGTGGGCCCTTACTCAAGGTTATATGAACACTGCCAAGTTATGTTCACCCCTGACATCTGGGTGAGGGAGTCTGACTGACTGCATTTTCCCTACACACCCTCTTCCAGGAAAAGAATCTTAAACTAGTCAATCTGGAATTATCTGGTCAGTACTAGTGAGGTAATCTTCCTGATAGAGTCCTGCTACCCCCTAAAAGAAGGTGACTTTGCCACAGCCAATAAGATCTTTAAAATGTACTCAGTTGAATTTTGCTATTTTATTTTCATTGTTTACACTATTACAGATGTCCCCATTTTTCCCCCTTTGTCCACCTCTCCTTTGCCCTTGCCACCTCTTCCCTCTGGCCATTACCATACTGTTGTCTGTGTCTATGGGTTATGTGTACATGTTTTTTTGCTAATCCCTTTACCTTCTTTCATCCAGTCCCCCCACCCAACAGCTGTCAGTCTTTTTCATGTATCAATGCCTCTGTTTCTATTTTGTTCATCAGTTTATTTTGTTCATTACATCCCATATATAAGTGAGGTCATATGGTATTTGTTTCACTGACTGGCTTATTTTACTTAGCATAATAGTTTCCAGGTCCATCCATGTTGTTGCACAAGGTAAGATTTCCTCCTTTTTAAATTCTTTTTAAAGATTTTATTTATTTTTAGAGAGGGAAGGGAGGGAGAAAGAGAGAGAGAGAGAGAGAGAGAGAGAGAGAAACATCAATGTGCCGTTGCTGGGGGCTGTGGCCTGCAACCCAGGCATGTGACCTGACTGGGAATCGAACCTGGGATGTGCAGCCCGCGCGCAATCCACTGAGCTACGCCAGCCTGGGCTAGAGTTCCTCCTCTTTTTAAAGTATATTTTATTCATTATGCTATTAAGTTGTCCCAATTTTTTTCTCCCCTTTAACCTCCTCCTCCCTGCATCCCCCAACCCACCAGCATTCCCCCCCCCCCGACTTCCTGTCCATAAGTTGTACATATAAGTTCTTTGGCCTCTCCATTCCCTATGCTATTCTTAATCTCCCCATGTTTATTTTGTGCCCACCTATCATGCTTCTTATTCTCTATACCTTTCCCCCCATTCTCCCCTATCCTACTGATAACCTTCCATGTGATCTCCATTTCTGTGATTCTGTTCCTGTTCTAGTTGTTTGCTTAGTTTTAGTTTTTGTTTTTTAGGTTCAGTTGTTGATAGTTGTGAGTTTGTTGTCATTTTACTGTTCATAGTTTTTGATCTTCTTCTATTTCTTAGATAAGTCCCGTTAACATTTCATATAATAAGGGCTTGGTAATGATGAACTACTTTAGCTTTACCTTTTTAGGAAGCACTTTATCTGCCTTTCCATGATAGCTTTGCTGGATAGGGTAATCTTGGATGTAGGTCCTTGCCTTTCATGACTTTAAAAACTTCTTTCCAGCCCCTTCTTGCCTGCGGAGTTTCTTTTGAAAAATCATCTGATAGTCTTATGGGAACTCCTTTGTAGGTAACTGTCTCCTTTTCTCTTGCTGCTTTTAAGATTCTCTCCTTATCTTGAATCTTGGGTAATGTAATTATGATGTGCCTTGGTGTTTGAACTCTCATCTGATAGGTTGGATATCTCCTTGTCACTTAGTTCTTTTTTGGAGTTTTTAATCTGTTCTTTCATTTGGGCCATATTTCTTTGTCTTGGCACACCTGTTACATTCCTGTTACGCCTGAGGTATTTGCCATGGCAGGGCAACCCTCTGTAGCATTGTGGTGCTGTGGAGGTGGGGTCAGAAAGGGAACAATATTTGCTTGGCTCTCACCACACTTTCTGTCACTTCCCTCACTTCCCATAAGTGGATTGTGCCCTTTCAGGTGCTGATTCGCAGGTGGGTGGGTTTGTGTACATTTTAGGACCCTGTGGGCCTCCCCAATGGACTCCTGTGTGAGACAGGGAGTTTCCTCCACTGCCACAACCCCCACAGATTTTTTAGAGCCAGGGTTTTTTTGTTTTTGTTTTTGTTTGTTCTTTTAGATTTTATTTATTTACTTTTAGAGAGAGGGGAAGGGAGGGAGAAAGAGAGGGAGAGAAACATCAATATGTGGTTGCCTCTCCAGCACTCCCCACTGGGGACCTGGCTTGAAACTCAGGCATGTTCCCTGACTGAGAATTGAACCGTCAACCTTTCAGTTCAGAGGTCGGTGCTCCATCCACTGATCCACACCAGCCAGGGCCAGCCAGGGGTTTTGAGTCTTTAGTTTCCCACTCTGAAACTGTGGGTTTCACAGTCTGTCTCACTCCCTCGTTGTTCCTCCCAGCTTATCCGTACATGAATGTGGGATTTCCCGGGTGATTCATTACCTTGCCTTGCCGTGTGCCTTCTCCACCCTGGCAGCCTGTCTCCACCCCTCCTACCGGCCTGGATGAATGTTTCCTTATTCTCTGGTTGTTGGACTTCCATATAGTTTGATATTCTGGCAGTTTGGTTGTTGTTTGTTTTTAAATTGGTTGTTATCCTTCTTTTGGTTATATGAAGAAGTAAAGTATTTCTGCCTATGCCTCCATCTTTCCTAGAATCTCCCAAAAGGTAAGAGTTCCTTCTTTTCTATAGCTGTGTAGTATTCCATTTTGTAAATGTACGACAATTTTTTATCCACTCATTTACTGATAGTCACTTGGGCTGTTTCTAGATCTTGGCTATTGTAAATAATGCTGCTGTGAACATAAGGGTGCATATATTCTTTCTGATTGGTGTTTTGGGATTCTCAGGATATATTCTCAAAAGTGGGATCACTGGGTCAAATGGAGTTCTATTTCCAGTTTTTTGAGGAATTCCATACTGTTGTCCACGGTGGCTGCACCAGTCTGCATTCCTGCCAGCAGTGCACCAGGGTTCCCTTTTTCCACATCCTCACCAGCACACATTGTTTGTCAGTTTATTGATGACAGCCACTCTAGTAGGTGTGAGGGAATGTATCTTTGTGGTTTGAATTTGCATCTCTCTGATGATTCATGACATGTTTATCAGTCATCTGTATATTCTCTTTGGAGAGTGTGTTTAAAAAAAAATAAGGGATTAAGCAAAAGGAAAAAGGACCCGTGGACATGGACAACAGTGTGGTGATTACTGAGGGGAGAGGGGTATAAGGGGACTAAATGGTAATGGAAAAAATATAATAAAGATTAAATTAAAAAAAAACAACCTCAACCATGCAGACAGAATTTGTGAACACAAATTTCAGCTGGTTGTAGAGTACTCCTTGGGAGGAAATGAAACTGGAAAAGCCAGTGTTCATGCTGTTTGTTACCTACCAGACCCAATAAGCAGAGACAGGGATTGAATATTCATATTCACACGGCCAGCGATCTAGAGGATGGCAGGTTTGCACCCTAACAGACTGTCTTAAATTCCATTTTAAAATGGCCCCTTTTATAAAGAGAAAAAATATATAGGTAAGAGGTTTGGAATTAAGGGAAAAGTTAATTGGATTAAAAAAAACAACTTCAGCATTCTCGCTCTGGGTGATGGTCATCTCACTGTGGAGCACAATGGCTCAGATACCACCTTGATTACTTGCAGTCTTCCTGAGGCACAAAGGTAAAACTGCTTGTGGTTTCCTGGAGTCGGGGTGGGTCATACCTTCAGTTCCTGGAACAATAGCTTTTACGTGCATTGATTACTAAGCTTATTAGCTATTACTTAAACTGAAATTTTCCAACTTTGGAATGCCCCATCAGAAATTCCCTATGATGCTTCTTTTCCCACTGTTTGAAAGGGGCCATGTCATCCTCTTTCTTGCCTGCTTTGGCAGCACATGTACTAAAATTGGAACGATACAGAGAGGATTAGCATCACCCCTGGGCAAGGATGACACACAAATTCATGAAGTGTGTCATGTTGTCCTGGTTCTTCAAACTGTCTGTGTTCCCTTTCCTACCTTACTCTCAGCTGATGGACCTATCTCAACTGGCAAAAATAGAAGCAATCCCAAGGACTGTCCTCACTGTCCAACTACCAGATCAGACTCTGCACGTGAGCCCAGACTTCCCGACTCCTCTCCTGTTTCTATGGATGGAACTCCCTTCTCCTATATCATCAGGGAAACTCCCCTGCTGGGCACTGGATCCCATCCCTTCCTGATGCTCCTGCCCTTCCAGTGCTTTGAAGAACTTCACTTTTGCAATTACTTCTTCTTCTTCCTGTTGGAGCTGATTTTTAAATTGCAAATAGTTCTCTGCCTGGAAAGCAAATACTTCTCCAGAGGCCTAGGGGTCAGCTCTGTGATATTCTTATTATATCATTTTTCTAGCCATTGAAGAATAAACATTTTTCTTCTGTGTTAACTAATTGAGGTTCTGTGAATTAAACTGAACAAAATTTAGAAAGAAGGAAAGAAAGAAAGAAAGAAAGAAAAAAAGAAAGAAAGAAAAAAAGAAAGAAAGAAAAAAAGAAAGAAAGAAAACGAAAGAGGAAAAAAGAAACCCCATTCAAATTAGCAAGAGAAAAGACAGGAGATCACACTAAAATATAAATCAAGGAGATTAGAAATAGGGGCTTGCATACTATTTTAATAGGAAAAGGGATGGGGGAGAAGGGCACTCATGGATAAACAATTGACATTTAGGGAAAATAAACAGGACCTCAGGGAAATGCATGGGGGATGTGATGGTTTTGTGACAATCTTCCTTAGTTGTGAAACTCCCCAAACTCCTGGTGAGATGATTTATGACCATGGGTTTTTGGAGGAGGCTTTGCTTATAAGTAGATAAGGGAGTTCATTTAAAAAGCCTTATATTTTCAAGTCCCTTAAGCTTAACATAATTTTGGTGTTACAGTGCCATATTCTGGACCCCTTCATAGCACTCTGCTAAATTATTCTTACTGGCAGGCGAACACTGAAACAAACTCTACCTTAATCACAGCCCTCTCACCTACTGCTCCATTCCTCAACTCCTCTTCAAAGGAGTCAGAGGGATCATATTTTAAACGTGAAAATTGGATTGTCAGTTTCCTGATTAGTTCACTCAAGCTTCACATTGCACTTAGAATAAAATCCAAATGCCCTGTCCTCTTCTATAAGGTTCCACGTGATGGGGCCTCCGTGTGTCCCCCCCCCCCCCGTTCACATTTAATCCCCCAGTCATCAGCACAGCTGTGTCTCCCACAGAAACAAACCCAGAACCCAATTTCTTTGAGGCTTATGAACAGTGCACATAAATATTTCTTTGGAACAAATGTATAAGAAGAGTCAACAGACCAAAGATTTACTAATCCAATAGAATTGGGAAGGTCATCTGAAATGTGTTTCTTGAGAGTATTAAAGGCTGTCTTAATGACATGATATGGTTAATACAGCTGCCTGAGTCACCTAGCCACTTGATTTCCAATGGTCAGCCACTTGGTACTTATAAGGACCAAGGAACACTTCTGGAGCTGTTATTTAAACAGCAAAGAGTTCTCTGCCTTGTAGGGCACAAGGAAGTCCTGCTCCACAGCCCTAGGGGTTTTGCTCTGCAAACTCCACACAGCTTCCTTATCCACCACAGATAACTCTTGCCTTAAAGATCTGCAGGGCCTTAAGGGCCAGGAAGCAGGCAAGCTTGCAGCAAATCCTGGGCCTGATTCAGAGCACTCTGTTACTCTAGCAACTCCAGGAACACTCAAAACTGGCAGAATTCTGAGTTATCAAGTACGATGTCAAAGGAATACTGTCACGGTGGACACAGGTAGCCAGGTTCTTGGTGATCAGGACAAAGAATTGAACCAAACACATAGTTTATAGCAGAGAACATGGGAGCAGGCCAACTCCAAGCAGAGACTGACCTCATGGGCTGGCGGGATTCTGTTCTTACAGGGCAGATGCTTTCTGGCCAGTTTTGGCAGGCTTTTATTACACATGTATAAGTAGTTGTATTACTGTAAAGCTATTGTGCATGGGGTCTCCCATGATTTTCCTTGATTGGCCACCTGCGAAGGGGTTGCACAATGTTACCAAATGGGTCTCCCCTTCTCCGGGGCTCGCCCTGTACTAGGTTCGCCTTGCCCTCTGCTAGGGAATTATAGCTCTCTGTATCAGAGACTGATGGAAAGGAAAGGAATTATTTATTCAAATGTCATACAGACTTAAGAGTAATGACTTAATGTCTTTATTAAAATCCCAAAGTCCCTTAAAACACCCACAAACACACACAGCCCTTCCTTCCCCCCACTTTGCCTGGTCCGGGGTACTGTATCTCAGGAAAAGAAATAGAGGTCAATGGCTCACGTAGCTCCTGGTTCTTTCTAGTAATCCGTGTTCAGCTGATAGGCCTCCCTCGGTTTCCAGAACCATCAGCTGTGTCACCAGGATCTCCAGTTCTTAGTCCAAAACCACAAGGCACCTTCTCATGGCCCACCAGCAAGAGTCCTTTCACCCCTTTCCTTCCCTCAGCAACTCTCCTACATTCTTCCAAAGTGCTAAGAGAGAGCTCTGTATCACTGCTACCTCTTGCTTTCTGGCTTCATAAGCTGCGTAGTTCTTCTTGTCATGGCTGCTGCACCTGGGTTTAAATCCCAGCACCAATCTTCCTCTGCAGCCCCATTTCCAACTCCTCCCACAATCAGCTACACCTGCTAGCATTCCCACATTTTTCCAGTTTTTCTGGGCTGCCCTAGTAAGTCCAGGCAGGCATGGCCCCTTGGTGTGGAGCCAACATCTCCAAGCTCTTACAGCAGGCTCTGTAACCAGGGGGGTTGCCTTCCAGTTACATCCTGGGTGGAATGCACTCCCATCCCCCTGGCTCAAAGCACGGCCGCAGCTATCTATGAAATCAGTTAAAGGTTACAGATATGTTAAATGACCGTTCAAGAGGTTATCTACAAAGCTGTTGCTATGCAAAACACCTCTCAATGGCCCTGCTCCATGTGTCTCATCCCCCAGTTCAGACTTGTGGGGGTGGGGACACTCCATATTTTTAATATTTCCTGGACACCCTGAGTTCTGGACCCCATCACAAATCCTTCTTTTGGGGACCCCTGGCTGCAGCCTCTTACACTCCCACAACTGTCGTAAATATACCAGCTGCAGCCCTCAAAGAAGCATTATTCCTCTTTCTTAGTGATGGAGGCTATAAAGTACAACTTTTACCTACAATTTTACCACCACCTAGATTCTACAATTAAACTTTACTATGTCATATTTTTAAGTCATTCATCCATTTATTGTTACCTTTTAAAAATCTGCAGACATAAGACCAGCACACACTTATGCTCAGGATTTAATGGTAAAATTTAAATGTGTTATAGGTACAATAAAACATAAAAACTATATACCCACACTCTACTTGGATGTGGATTCCTCAAACGGACTACCAGTACTTTGTCTATTTTCTCAAATAGACCAGCACGTGTAAGTTGAGGGTGCTTGTGAATATGATGTGCCCATATAAAATCTCCTGGACTGAGAAGGGAGGAGGACAAATGCCCAGCATCTTGGGTCTCATGAATGAACCCTAGTCTCTGCTTCAGCCTATCCTTAACCAGGATGGGAAAAGCTTGATGGCATGAATGGGGAATCCTGTCTGATGTTTCCTTCAGAGGGAAGAAAATTGGGGTTATTCTCCAGAATTGGTGGACAATGTCTATATGGGGCTGATTTGGGCTCAGGGAAAGAATATGGCTTGGAGTTCCCCCATTCTGTCACAGGGACACTGCCACATTATCCACATTTTCCTGGCTCTTTAAACTCATGATCTGGAGTTTTATTTTGCTTTGTGCTAGTATGGCACTTTTAACTTATCCCCTCATTAAACAATAATGTCCCACTTTGGACATTGTTTCCTAAAAATCCTACCTCAAATCTGCAAAGGGAATTCCAGCTTTCTGATAAGGTTTTGAATGCTTCACACATAATCTCAATAAACACTTTACTAGTGAAACCTGTGTTGAGACTGGGTAGAGACTTGGCCATTAAAGGTATTCACATTTGAAAAGGCCACATGGATTCTGAAATGGGAGGAGAAATCTCTTCACAGAAAGAATAAACTTCTTAAACTTCTTTTAATTTATAATTTGCCTTTTAATTTGTGTTTGCCCAGTGGCTAGGTCAAGTGGTTGAATCAGTGAGCTAGCCCTCTACCAAATCCCGTTAGCAAGCTATACATAAACATGGATTAGTCAACTACATTCAAATCAATTTTCTGAACCAAAAGGAATGTCCTTTTGGAACGCTGCTTTATTTAGGAATGCAGCTTTCTCGTGTGCACACTGTGATCACCTAAGGGCCCACTCTAAAGAGTTGTGACATTTTACCTTCTCACAGTAGTTTGTGTTGATCTTTTCCCCTCTACCCCTGTTAACTTTTGGTGAAAATGACCTACCTGTTCCTTTTGATAAATTCAAGCTAACTATTCAAAACAAGCAAATAAACAAACAAGAGAATGTATTCAATAGATGCTCTACCCGAACTGGTAACAAATGAAATGCACAGACACCCCAACAGACAGAGTCAATGGAAGGTGGGAAGACAGGAGAATGACGTGGGTATCTCCTGATAGCACTCGCAGTCCTTGCATTGTTGCTACTCTACGCAGTAGTTTTGATTTGATGTAAACCCACGTTTCTAACTTCTTTCTCTAGCAGTAAATATTGATGAGAGGTTACGTATGCAACCTTATGGAATTCACAAAAAGGGGAAAAATTACTGACTTAAAATGTGGAAACAAAATGTGTTTCGTTCTTTAACTAGTCATTAAACAAGCTAACTTTGTTCCTTTCACATAACTCTAACAGAATATCAATGAAAACTTTGGAAAGTACTTATTTTCAATTACAAAGGAACACCATTTAAAATCTTTTTCATGTAACACTTAGTAACATTTGCAAATATTGTCCTTGAACAACTTTCTTTGTTATTAAGAACTAG